TGATTCTCTGCAGCCCTGCCCAGGATGCAGGAGGCCAGGGGAAGCACACAGGGAGGTAGAACATGTGCCTTCTGATGAAGAAAAGTCCAGGTTTAGGGCACTGAGTGAATCAGACACAAGGAACTGTCCCAGGTAACTGGGTAACCCAGGTAACCACCTCCATGGCATAGTTACTAATTAAACTTACACATTTATAGGATGCTTATGGCTTCCAGGACATGAGAAATCACAGCTGACATCATGCAAGCAAGAGGCAGGACACTTTTGCTCAGCAACTTCCCACATGTAGAGTCACAAGTCCCAGAAAACACATTTTTAGGATAAGCAGACATTTTTACCTCTTCCCAGGTCCCATGGAGGACAGGGTGGGTGGTCTTTTCCAAAGGGCTGCAGAGCTGTCTCCTTGTGTCACAGGACCACTGGAAGGGCTCATCCACACACCAGCTTCCCCATGGAGCCCACAGCCAGATATTTTCCATGGCAGGGTTTAAAAAAAACTCCTATCTATCATGCTTAGCAGTGTCAGCCTGCTGCCAAAGTTTGTCAGCTATAGCCTGGAAGCATCCAACTTTTTTAGGTTGGAATCCAAGCCCTCTGTTCCATATCTGAAAGCTTTAGGGCAAACACAGTGTGTGCACTCACAGTGCAAAATTTCTTGTGGGTGGTTTTCTCCCCGATGCAAAAACTCTTTTAACAGTGTTTGAATTAGAATGTTTTGAATGTGTTAGTTTTATCATCTAGTGGTTTTATTGTCACCACCGCCACTGCTCATGTTTCCCAGCCAGCTGTAAAAGGGTGGCATCCTGGGCTGAAGCAGGAGCTGCCTTGCCAGTGACAAACCAGCCCTCCTGGGATCCTACAAAACCTGCAAGATCCACAACACAATCCCAGTCTGGGTCAATAACATGAAAGACATGAAAGCACTGAAATTCAGCTCATCTGGGGAAGAATTTGCCCTTCTGTTGCTCTGACAGCCTTTGTCCTTGCTGTTAACCCCTCACCGAGCTCCAAGTATTGTGTGATGTTCTCCTGCCTCCAGCAGAGTCCTTGCCTGTCATATGTGGGGAAAGCAGCTGCTGGAGACAGCTGGAAGGAGACTTTTATGATTATTACAGTAGCTGCAAAATCATCTGTGCCGTAGTAACGCTCAGATATTTATCAGTTTCTGTCACCGACACAAGTTTGAATGTAGAAATGGGTCTGCAGGCAGCCAGGGGAACCCACAGCACCCCAGCCCAGCCATGTTTCAAGAGAGGGGCAGCTGCAAGGGGCTGGCAACCCCCTGGAAGATGCAGGAGACATTGCTGGGAGCTCATGGTTTGGTCACCGTCAGGATGCCACAGATGTGACAAAACGGAAAATTGAATTGTAAACTGAAAATACTGAGATCCTTTTAGTGTCATGAGATGTATTTCCAATGGTGGCACTTAAAGAGTTTGTGTCTCCTAAGATGATGTTTCTAATTTCAGAGAAAAAAAAATGACTGCTCATCTGAACCTTTCAGATGCACATCAGCCAGCAAGTAATTGAAGACAAAGCATTTTTCTGTAATAAACCTTCATAATGAAGCACCAGAGGAAAATCCTAAAGTTCAACTCAATACATCACGCTAATCTGCAGAATGGGATTTTCCTGCCACTAATCTTGTTAGAGCTGGGGCACTGTGCAAATATATCTAAACACATAATTACTGAAGAGATATTAAAGGGATCGATTTGTTTCAATAAAAAATGCAAACTTTGAGGAGAATTCATTAATACTCAAAATCCAGCCAGGCAATAAATAACGCTAATGAACTGAGAAAAAGGAATAAATGAACAAGTACTGACATGATGTCTTATGCTTATTGCTGTTAAAGAGGAGCTGACAATTACTCCATTTGAAATATAAATCCTGCAAGGGAAATGCTAGAAAGTGAGTGAAAGACTTGTTAAAAATATGTATGTACATACATATACACACATTTTAAGAAGGCATTAGGATGAAAACGAATTTAATTTCATCCTAAGGAGGCCATATTACCTTTTTCATCACCCCTAAGCTGTGTTTACATTAGCAAACAGTGCTGTGCAGCAGGAGCATGAAACAGCTGTTGCTGAGATGCTGCCAGCACAGCATCTCTAAATGTGTTGGGGGTTTGCTGCCAGCCAGCTCCAGGGTGGTCCTGCAGCCCGAGTGCCTCACAGAGAGCAGGGTACCCTGGCCACAGGGCTTCAGGATCTCCCTGGTGCATTGTGTCCCAAGGGAACTCCAGGGTGGACACTGTAATGTGAATCAGATCACAGCGACTGCGGGTGTGGCAGCAAGCACAGCATTTTCCTCAAGAGCAGCCTCCTCACTGGCACTCAAATGTCGGCTGCAGCAGGAGCACTCAGGGCACTGTAAGGGGCTCACCCCAGGACAAAAGAGCCAGACACGGCAGAGACCTCAGTGCAACACTCACCCACACAACCCAAACGACCCAGTGACACCCACGGGTATCTAAAACAGCCTTTTCACTTTTCACTGGGAGAGCTTGTCAAGACAGAACCCAAGAACATGTTTTTCTTTGTGCTTGGGAGGTTCTACGATTTGCCAAAAGGAAATATCAAAATCAATTTGGTTTGGTATTTTGGAATTATAACATGGTATTCAAACAGCAGACTTGGGAGTTATCCAGGCTGCTTCAGAGGACACTTGCAGTAATTTTTTACAGGCTTCTGAAACAGAAGAAAGACACTGAGGGGCTGAGGTGTGTCCAGAGAAGGGAACAGAGCTGGGGAAGGGTCTGGGGCACAAGCTGATGGATTTGGAATTTTTTAGCCAGAAGGCTCAGGGGGACATTATCACTCTCTACAGCCACCTTAAAGGACGGTTAGTGAGGCCAGGGATCATTCTCTTTTCCCTGGGAACCAAAGAGGAAGAGAGGAAATGCTCTCACTGTGCCAGGGAAGGCTCAGATTAGATATTATGAAGAATCTCCTCACTGCAAGGGTGGTCAGGCATTGGAACAAGCTGCTCAGGAACTGATGGAATCGCCAGCCCTGGAGGTGTCCAACAGGGTGTGGATGTGGCACCTGCAAGTTTTACTCAATCCCACAGTTCTTATGGCAAAGGAGGTGCTGCCACTTCTCCTGGTGGAAGATCCCCACTTTATTCACCCATTCCTTACCTGAAAGCTGCTCCTGTCTATTATTTGGGACAAGAGACTTCAGCAGCTGAGGAGGAAGAAAGCTCAGATATCAAAGATGAGCCTGTTTTCTTACACAGTCAAGTTATTAAAAATCACCATTTCCTTTCAATAATCTTATGTGGGAAAATGCTGGCAAAGCACTCAAACCTCATCTAGAGAGAAGCTCAGGCTTTTACTGGTAATAAAATCAGTGATTTATGGCAGCATGTACAACATGATGCTATTTCCCTTGCAATTTATGCCCTCAGAGGGCAGAGAAGAGGTGGCTGTGCAGGAATTGCACATCCCTTGCTCCTTCCAGCAGATGCCTCCCTGCACAAACACCACTTCCACAAAAATCTCTGCTCTGTTCTAACCAACGTCTCTAAAGAGTTTCTGTAATGGCAATTACTGCTGGCAACAAGTCCAATAAATGTTGTATTTTTGTCATTTCTTTAAGTTTAAACTGGAAAGATGGGAGGTTTCTTAGGAGGTTTCTTTTCTTTTTGCTGAGGGATTCTTTTCAAGCTCTCCTTTAGATGAAGGCAAGGGGGAACCTGGCAATTTCAAGGCATTTTATTGCCAGCAAGAATGGGATAAAGCAGCCTGCTCTGCACAGTCTCCTCGGCACTGCAGCTCCGGGTAAGTGATGCATCTGCCACCAGATGTCACCCAGAGGCCACTCCTGTCGCCTGCTGAGACTCCAGCAAGGCCCTGGATTTCCTGCAGGCAGCAGGGATGGTCACAGCACTGTCATCTCTCCTGCAGCTACACCCACATTTAACTTCAGATTTTTACTTTGTGCCCTAAAAAAAGAAAATAAATTTTCAAGTCGCACTATGTCTTCAAAATGCTTTGAAAACTGAAGTACATTGCATGAGATAAAAGCAAAATGCTATGGTTGTTGGTATCTTTACTGGAGGCCTGTATTTCTACTTTTACAGAATTTTATCACCTTGCAGAGTTTACCCTTATCTAACTCTTAGGGGAAAAAGAACTGAGACAGATAATGGATTACAAGAAACAGCAAGCAATGCAGAATGAAACAGAAGCACCTTGTGACAAGGGAATAGAAAAGATTTCCTGTCGTAACAAAGACAATTATAACAGGAAGAAAACAACAGAATAAAAAGTGATAAAGTATAAATAGATGAAGAGTATTAGATACCTTTTACAAATTCCTGATACACTTAAAAACTTCATTTCATGGGGAGCATCCGAAGAAAACACAGAGAGACACAATTTCCACTGTTTAACATTCAGAAAGTTCCACATGCTTTGCTAAAAATCAGAATGTTGCTTTTTATCCATTTACCATAGAGAGATCTAGAAAGCACAAATTTAGCATTGTAGCTTCAGAGGCAGTGATAGACATAAGAAACTGTTATTGAAAATATTTATCGTGATAGGAAACCGAGCGAAATGGATGACAACAGTTTTGAGGAAATTTTACTTAATTCTTTTAATCTCCTAAATACAAGTAAAATGTATTCCAGTGCTTCCAAGGGTAAATCAACAATTAATTAATTCAGCTCTGAACAGCAGCATTTAACAGAAGGGATGAAATCACTCCTGCAAATATTTCAGCTTTTTGAAACTTGTCCAGCTCCATTTAACAAAGTCCAGAAACAATTTCAGCTCCATTTCAACATGTCTAACTTTTCCCTTTAAGTCAAGGTTAAGCTAAAATTACCTTCTCACATTCACCACAGAGTCAACTCTTAAAAAATTCTGCCTGTGTCAATGATTTGAAAAATTGAATTTGGAACTTTCAGTAAGGATATTTATTATAAACAACAGCAAAATTAGAAGCCACAACTCAGCTGTTTATTGAGAAAGAACGAATCAGACTCTTCATAAAAATCAGTTCTGTGCATACCTGAACCTTCTTGTTTCCTCTCACCCAGACAAACTTTACCATGACAAACCTGGGAACAGTTCTTTTGGTTCTGCTAAGTTATGGGGAATGCTTATGTTTTCAGAACTTTAAATAGTGAAGCCAGAAAAAAACAAACAAAACTCCCAAACAATCCCAATAAGATGCAGAAAAAGAAGTTTTCACCTCATTTCAGCTCTAATCCCCTATAAATAAATAGAGTTTTAAAAAAATCAAGTTTTACACTGGCAATAATTTCAGTTATTAAGTAGTAATTGGATACTTTTCTTAGTGTGACCTATCACTGTAACCACCCAGTGGTAACAAATGGACTTTCAGTACCTGTAATAAAGCAGCTCAGAGTAAACAAAATACTTATTTTGAGAAAGCATAAAAAAATCACAACTATTATATTAAGGACTCTGTTGTAATTATATACAAAATAACTACCAGAGCATTTGGTTCATACAGTGTTGCTGCAAGTTTTGAAACCAAGTTCTTGGTCCAAGACACTCAGTGCTAGAAATGGGCAAACATCTCAAGCTTGTGTGCTTGGGGACACAGACAGAACAGTTTGTGTGCATTCATGATAAAACTGCAACCATAAGGTAAAAGGACAGGGAGCAATTAATGCAAAGAAGTTAAAGAAATACTTCAACAATGCCAAGTTCCCTGCACTGTCCCATTAAATCACTGTTTAGAACACCCACAGCACATTCACAGGGCATCCACCCCCATTCAGTGTTTTCTTTTAGGTTTTCTATTGGTTTTCTTGGAACTCAGATGTCCTTTAGACACTTACCCTTCCCAGATTCAAAAACCAGATGCAATGACTCCCTGCTACAGCTCAGGTAAGAGTTTCAACTGGTGTCCTGAAAAGAATTTGCAGTTTGTGATCCCCTCATTACACACTGCTGCAAATCCATATTTAATTGTAACCAAACTCCACTCTAATGACAGTGCAAAACCTGAAGGAATACCCATGAAGTATTTGTTAGCTCTTGGAAAGTGCCCACAAGCATCACCTGTGTTAAAACCCTGTACCTCACTTGCTACTCAGCAAATCTTACTCAGAGAAGAGAAACTGCACGGCAGCAACAAGCCAGCCCCTCACCCAGCTGTGATAAAATGCTCAGAATTTCTGAGGTTCAAACACAGTCAGTTCATACCCATCATAGAACTCTCTCAGTTGACTTGACTCATATTTTATGGAAGGTTTTTCAATTTGCATCCCAGGCTCCAGAGCGTTCTGTCCCACTATTTTAAGGTTCACCAGTTTTATTTTCCAGGTGTTATTCCTCATGGGGCAGCTGATGAGCCCAAAGATTTGCTCAAAGACACCCAAGCAAGCATTGTCTCTGTGCACTGTGCCAGCCACTGCCACCAGCACCAATCCATGAGGGGACATGGCACATTTCAGGCCACTGGAATTCAAATTTGGGTTGAAGAGGAGACATTCTTCTTTAACCAAGGACAGCAGGCGCAGGCTCACCATGTCTGCACCCACATATTGTTCCACGTTTTTTTCCAAAGTGTTGTAACAGAACTTCAGTGTGGCATCCTCCCAAAAATGCTGTGGTCCCCATGTCTCTTCAGATTTTACTCCCAAAGGATGTTGAGAGTTCAGGAGTTCAAAGTACCACTGGCAGAATTCTCCTCCCAGACCTCCAACGTCATCTTGTGGTGATTTCTGTCCATTTCCATGACTCTGCAGTCAAGCAAATTTTTTCTTAGAACTGTTTAGCAGCAACATCAAATCATGCACATGCTTATATTAAACCTTTCGAGTGCTCTGAGCCAGAGTGCCTGAAGAGAAACACCAAAGTAAAATCCCATTTATTTTTACAAGCATAATTATCTAATGTAGAGAACCATGACAGGTTCCCTGAATTACACCTAGAAAGTGCTTCAGTGTCCTGGGCTCTTTACAGACAAAGAGGAAAATCCTGGTTCTACTGAAAAAGGGCAGGGGAAGGATGTAAAGTTACATTTTTTGGAGCTAAATGTACACTTAGTTTGCAGTACTTCTGAGTATTTATGACTTGACAGCAAGACTTTTTTAGAAGTAAATCAAATATCAAGTTTGCTAACACCAAAGTCTAGTAAGAATTAAATTAAGCATTAAGTAATTAAGCATGAAAAGTTTGGAGAATTCTGTATACAAATGCTGGATTTGTTTCACCACAAGTTGAAATTCATTCCCAATTCTGTTACATAGGTCCAGGTTTCCCATTTCTTCAAAGTGGTGAAGAAAGAAGAGATGAGAATTAAGAGAAAACAAATGCAAAGAAAGATGTATGTGATAAATAAATTAACTGATTTCTTTTAAATTTATGAATGCGTTTTAAGTACTTCATTTATGCACCAACAACCACAGGACTTTTCTAAGAGAAACCTATTTTTTTTCTCGAATTATGAATACAGAAAATTGTTTTGAGAACAATTCTCAGCTAAATCCTGTCATCAGTTAATCCCTGAGTGAAAGCTCAGTGCAATAGGTTCTCAACAGGGACAGAGCTCTCACAGCCCAGGAGGTGGGGCTGCTGCCCATGAGGGCTCTGAATTATAGCAAGGTGGCCAATTAAAACCACAGATAAACCTCTTAAAGTTCATTACACCACGAGCATTTCCTAAATGGCAAGGATTTTACCTTCAAAATAACCAAACCAGATTTCATTTCACTGTATTAAACGTTGCAAATACCAAGGGAAAACAAAGGGCACCTGTCATTGCTGGAAACTGCACATTTTACCAACATATAAACTCACTAAAATCACAAGAGCCTCTGCAGGATTTCTGTTTTCATTTTGTGGGTTCCAGAACCCACAAAACTATTTGTGAATATCTTCTATTTTAGCTCATAGGACAAGAATAAAAATCAAAGCATGAAGAAGACCCCACACATTAGAGTTTAAATACTGTGGAAAACAAGAGCAGACACCTTCAGATGTTGTAATTTAAAAACCAACCAAACCAACCCAACTAAAACCAAACCAACCAAGAGTTACAAAGATTTGGGACCTTCCTACAGGTGCAGAGCCACATTTGCTCTGGTCACCCTGTGGAAGCAATGCTGAGCACCCTGAGGATTTCTGTAGGATCCCAGAAACCTGGGGTTTTTTGAGCTTTCTGTGCTTTCTGGCACTGACCCCCAGGAGAACACTGCTTTTGACCTGAGGCCTTGGAGAAGGCTTCCAAATTTGAGTGATGGAATTAAGAGTCACAGGTGTGTACTAAAATAGAAGTGTGTGATTTCACACAGTGAAGGGTTTTAAATTTGAGGCCTTTATAATACAGTAATAGGTATGGGAAAAGATGGAGGATTTGGGTGTTGTCTCCTTTTCAGTGCTCATCTTCCTTCTCCTTCCTGGTTTCAGGCAGTAGTTTCTGGTTGGACAGTCAGTGCTGCACTGTGGGCCACAGGAGTTTGGCTATTTGGTCAAAAGTATAAATAATGTAAGTGTTAATTCTCTATTGGACTGTTTAGCTTTAAGAGACCTTGTAGCTAGCAAGATTGGCCATCATTTTGCTCACTTTTAGCTGGTAGCTAGAAGTGTTGCTGAACTCTCTGTTCTTTAAGATTTAATAAACAACCAAGCCCGAAAACGAGAAAATTCATCTCCTTTTGTGTTTTTTAATCCTGGCTCTGAATGAAGACAGAAGAAACCACAGACAAGGCACTAATTAAGTGCAAACACCACCCAGTGCACATTTGCAGCAGCAGCACTCGCTCACCTGTGCAGGTTTTGTGTGTCCTGGCCCCGAGGCCCGGGCTGTGAGCTGCCCACTCCAGAGCTGCCTCACCCTCTCGATGAGCAGATGTTTCTCTGAGGAGGGAGGCACTGCAATCCCCTGAGCTGCCAAATACTTGAAGATGATTTCTCTGCAGACTTTCCTGCGCCTCAGAAGTTCTTCCACGTTTTGGCTGTACACCAGAATGGCATGAATGGCCTCTGCAAAAAAACATATTGAAGTTGGAGTTACCTTTCTTCACAATAAAATCTCAAACCTAAGCCATTTCTTAAACTCCTGACTTCCAAACACAGTACAAGACAAGGTGACAGAGCATGAAGAGACTGAAATGCCTGTAAACTGAAATCTGGCTTCATCATATAAGACACAGAATACACTCAAAGGCTTGCAAATGTGCTTCTTAGACAAGAATTCTAGTGGAGTGCTTCAGCAATGTACAGCAGTTCATGAAAGTGAGGTCCCATCTCCTTTCTGAAGCCTGCTGGAAATGGAATTAAATCTGTTTTATTTCCACACTAATGTGATTACGACTCTCGTGTTCATGAGAAAATGCACCCTAGCACAACAACACTGAATGGCAAGAATGAGCAAAATTCAGCTACAAGGCTCTGTGGCAGAATAAGGAAACATGCCAAACTTAAATTCACTTTTAAAGCAGTTACAGCAGACAGTTCCCACCTGAACTGAGGTTAGCATTTAACATGGGACCTATAAAAACCCTAAATCTAACCAGAAAGAAATAACTAAAGAAAACACAAAAATCTTTTAATGTAACCTATAACCACCACAAAATGTAGGGGAAAAAAGGTCAGAAAATAAAAGGCAAAAGACCTTTCAAAGAAATGTGTTGGGCAAATCTTACAGGTTTTAGTTACCTCATATGAAACATACTCAAGGCTTTAGGATGAGTATATATCAGGGCAACAAACTCAGTGGCCTCAGATAACTCACATAAAAAAATGAAGTCCTATGAAACAAATGTCAACAAAGTTATGAGGGAAGATCACAACTGGAAGTGCCCTGCAAAAAAAGTAAATTCAATGTAGATCGGTATTTTACCCTTTCAAAACCTGAAAGCAAACGTGAGTGACACCAACAGCGAGAGACTCTTGAGCTTTCAATACTTTTAAGCACCAAGGGCACACCGTGCTCACAGCTCACTGCAGGCTCTGAGAGGAAGAAGATGCATGTGTAGAGCTGAAGATCTTGTGAAAAACAACGTTTGCTTTCCTGGTAGATTTTAAAAGTTTTAATAAAAGACAATAAGAGATAAACAATAAAGATTATAACAGGTGCTTGGCATTCCGTTGAGAGCACACCTGCTGTTTTGGAGACATCCCTTAAATTCATCAGCCTGTTGCATATTCATAGACCCATCGTACATTTTCAAACTTTTCTACAAACTATTTTCCATATTCCAAGAACTGTTTTACATGGCCACTCCTTGAGTCCGCCATTTTAGAGCATGTGTGTTTCTTTACTGTGGTTTTAATTTATTTTTCTTATCAGTCTTAATTTGGGCTGTGCTCTTCAATTTCTACAGCCTGTCAGTGCTGGTAGCTGCAGTATCAGTAGCAGGTGTCTTCACTGGGTGTTACCCAACCAAGCGGGCAGTTCACTTACTACAAAGACACTTTATCAGCCTCTGTTACTCCTAAAGAAAACTCTATCTTAAAAACCACTTCAACACCACACATAGAGTATCCACCCTAATATTTGTGAAAAGCCAATACCATAATGTGTGTTTATAACATCCTGCAAAAAAAGTATATTCAATGCAGATTCGCATTTCTCCCTTTCAAGACCTGAAAGCAAATGTGAGTGACGCCAACATGGAGAGACTCTTGAGCTTTCAATACTTTTAAGCGCTAAGGGCACACCATGCTCGCAGCTCACTGCAGGGCTCTGAGAGGAAGAAGATGCGTTCGCAGAGCCGAAGATCTGCTACGAGCCCGTCACCACCGCAACTTCGCCGGCCTGAACAACGCCAAGCTCCGAGCAGCCGAGCCCCGGAGCTGCTGGGCCGTGCAGCAGAAGGCTCCCGGCAGCGACCCCCGCCCCGGCTGAGCCCTGCGAGCCGCGGCCCCTCAGGCAGGCCCCGGCCCCCCCGAGCAGCCCCGGGCCCGGGGAAGCGAACGCGGGGCTGGGGGCAGGGCCCGGCCCCGCTCGGCAGGCCCCGGCCCGGCGGCCCCGGCGCTGCCCGCGCACACCTTGGCGGCTCTCCGGGTGCACCAGGCGGTTGGTGACGGTGTCGGTGAGCGCCAGCAGCTCCTCGGTCTGCAGCAGCTCCAGCAGGTCCCGGCAGCCCGCCCGCTCCCGCTCGCTCAGCCCCGAGGCCGCCATGGCCGCCCCGCCTGGCCGCGCGCCGCAGCGGCGGGCGCCGGCTGGAAAGAGGGGCCGGCACCGAGGTTCCGCACGGGGAAGCGGCCGGGGGGAGCACGGCCCCGAGGAGACGGGCTAAAATGGATGGATTAGGAATTACACATATAGAGAGGTTACAGCTGGGTGTGTCCTTCCCTTGCTGAAGTTGTCGTGCTGAGCTCCGGGGAGATGCAGCTCCACGGAAAGGGATGTGTGGGTGCTGGCCCACGGCCAGTGGGGGTGAGCCCGCAGTGCCCTGGAGCCAGGGGCGACATCCCTGTCCTGGAGACATCAGGAATAGCCAGGGGCGACATCCCTGTCCTGGGGACATCAGGGGCAGCATGGCCAGCCAGGGGATTGTCCTGCTCTGCTCCAGGCTGGGGCCGCCTCACCCCCAGTCAGAAGGTTATAAAGGCATTAGAGAGTGTCCAAGGGAGGGTAACAGAGAAGGGGAAGGGCCTTGTGGAGAAGCCGTGCGAGCAGGGCTTGGTGTCTTCAGCTGGACAAGAGGAGGCCCCACTGCAGTTACAGCATCCTCGTGGAGGGAGGAAGAGGGACAGACACTGACCTCGCTGTGGTGACAGTGACAGGACCCGAGGGAATGACCTGAAGTGGCAGGGAAGGTCCAGGCTGGGTGTCAGAGAAAGGTTCTTCTCCCCAGCATCAGCCTGGCAGAGTTCAAGCAGTGTCTTGACGATGCTCTTAGCACAGGGTGTGACTCTCAGGGGTGATCCTTGTGGGTCCCATCCAGGTCAGGATATTCTCTGATGTCGTTCTATGATTTCTACCACCGGTCACCTCATCTGGACCAAGCCATCTCTGGCCAGCTGAGCTGCAGTAAGCAGTAAGTCATCCAATTGTGACTGAGGTAGGAACTGCACGTTCTCAAATGATGCATGGCCCCAGGACTGGGAAACCCAACAGCACAACACCTGTTTAAGGAAACAAAGTCCTATAAGCTAAAGATGGTTTTGTTTTTTTTAAATGCAAGCTCTGAACCTTGTAGTGCTTTTCACTTGGCACTATTTTCTTTGTCAGGGGCAGAGCAAACAGTGACTGACACTTCATAAAAAGAGAGAAAAGGGGAAAGATGAACAAATAATGGAATAGAAGACAGCAGAAACTTCAGCTGAGCTAAGCATCATAACCTACATGCCAAGAAAAAGGTGCAACGAGTGCTTGACCTCTCTGTGGCAGAAAAAGCCAACAATCTCCTCCACCCCATGCTTTAATATGAATGTGTAAAGAGACCACCTTCTTGTGCTGAAGCTGACTGTGACTTCAAACCCAGGAAGACCCAGATTCTGTAAAGACACACAAAACAACCATGTTCGAATTACCAATGAACTCCTCGTTATGGTGGACTCCATTCAGAGCTGTAGTAAGGAATGCCTGCCCTCAAAATCCGGCAAACCTACAACAGAACACTGATGGGCACAGAGAACACATTCCTTATCCCTGCATTTTAGATGATCGTTTCCTCTTTGAAATCTAAAACAAGTCCATGCAGATTTCCTAAGCTGATCAGAGGAAAAACCAGCACACATTCAGCTGAGTACAAACTGTTCTCTTGAGCTGAATCAATTCCATATAGCCAGAAACAGCTGAACAAAATTTGCACATGAATTTTAAGTTCAACATTCCGATAAAAATTCAGTCTGGAAGCATCTGGAAAGCTTTAACATAATAATGCTTATTGTCTGCTGTGCCAAACTTCCCCTCACATGTACACTGATTTAATATTCTTGATTAGTATCAATCTCGCAAACTACAAATTAGACAATGCATCTGAAAAATAGAAATTACCTTTGCTTCATTTTGCTTATGTTTCAATAAACCTTCAAATTTGCAGCCTTCAAGGAGTAATACCTATCCAAATCTTCTGGAATTCAGGGGAAAAAAACCCCAACCATCAAGATGCCATTTTAAAAATTAGATTGAGACGTTTGTGGTGTTTTCAGTAAGAAATGAGGGGTGGGATGGGAAGGGAGGGGCAGGTTGCCTCGGAATGGTCACATTCCCATTAATTCTTAGAGAGGAAAAGTGCACTGGCATCAGGGAGATTGGAGACTTTTCAATATTCAGGACTTAAGTCTCCCCACAGCCCTTTTCCTGTTCTAAACAAAGACCAGCCCTTTCAGCAGGATTACCTATAATTATTTACAATATATTTTTTTTTATTTTGTAAGTGCTTCCCCTTTGGAGGTGATGGGGGTGGAAAGGGGATAATCTCAGAAGTAGGTTTCATTTTTTCTCTCTTTCTCCTAACTCAGAATTCCCTATAGAGTTTTTAGTAAAAATTTTAATTGCCTTGAGCATTGAGCAGGAACTGGCATTCCCAAAGGGGAAGAAACAGGAAAATTATTAGCCTATATAAACCAAAAGGTGAACAGTGCTTCTGTAACAATAAATTGCTGTCACAATTCAAGGAGTTACTACAAAGGCTTTTGTTGTATTTTCTCTCTTCTGTCTGAGGGGCAAAGTTTATATTTGGTGTTAATAAATTTAACAATGAATTTATTAAATGGCTTATGTACACACTGTCAAATGGATAAATATTTTTGCTGGCAAAATGTACCTGAGGCCCCTTACCCTTACACCCACACTTAACTTGCTCAGGCAAGGACCTGGTCAAAATTACCCAAAGTATCCAAAATGAATCTGTTTGAAGTTACACCCACAAAAAGAGTCACCATCCAAATTTTTCCACAAGACAGTTAAAAATCTGCAATCAAAGAAGCTAGGAATTTACAGGGCTGTGAATAATAAATCTAAATTATCCATTAATTTCAGATGGCAGTATTGAACTTTCTGAAGTGAAAGAAAAAAACAGCTACACTGTCTTTCTCTCTGAACTTGACAACCAACCAGAAGTATCTTAAAACAGGTGCACCCAGACTTGTCTGTGCCCCCAAATTTGGATTTTGAGCCCCAGGAATTAGCTGCTGCCCCCATTTTGAAGCTTGGTCTGTTCAAATCCAAATATCCACACAGCAGGAACATCAAGACCTGGCATCTTCACACAGGTGCCCCACAGCCATCATGTACCAAACATAACAGAGTAGCTCTGAACATCACAGCAGCATTTCCAGAGTGATTCTCCAAAAGACAAGATCAGTTTCTATCAACAACAAAGACAATGTTTTATTGAACAAATCTATGTACAGTACAAAAGGTTTTTAAAATGAAACACTACTGTAGATTTATTGCAGTTTGATGGCTCAGTTTGAATTTGTACTCTTATATAAAATGCAAAGTAAAATAATTTAACATTCAACAAGGAAGCACAAATTTCCTTTCTTGCTGAACCTGTAACAGCTTTTACAAATTAAGAGTCCCAAAATGCATACACTGCATTTAATCAGAAAGGTGTTATACAGTACCAAATAAATTAAGAAAATAGTAACACTACCACCCCCTTCGGGTCTTTTGTCCATAGCACTGGTGTTAAACAATAAAAGAAATGAGTACAGCTGAACCTTCCATGTGATATTAAAATCACCAAGTTTAATGTTATAAATTATCCAAACTATACAATTCATATAATTTTAATGAATATGGCTAAATAACCAAAGTACCAGTGACCTTGCCCCACAGATATGACCACTTGCAACCTACTTTCAGTATTCCTTTTTTTTTTGGTGAAAGGTGCCTACACCAAATGGCAGCTTTTTGAAATTAGGAATTACATGACCTTTACAGTGAAACAAGATGGGGTTAGAGGAGACACTCTTAAAAATGAAAGTCCAAATCCAGCTGGAGGAATGTTATTAAATACAATTATCAGCAGTGAATTGCACCAACTTTGATCCAACAAGGCTCCTAAGCTCATGTCTAATTTCAGGCAGCTTTAGGCTTACATTACACATGTACTTGAAGATTTACTGAATCAAAGTGATACATCTTCAAGGATTTCCATTTATGTCACACAATGCTTAATGCCTGGGAAAAAAAAAAAATTCAACCAAACAGCCTCCAACTTTCAAGACTTGTAACCTGTTTTGAGCCTTAGAAGTTGCAGGCTTCATATGGAGTAATACTCAAGATAATAAAAGAATCCTTAAAAAGCACAAAGAATTATTCCACACAGGACCCAATTATCTTTTTGCCTCTGATTAATGTTGCTTAATACTGCAACTATCTGAGAATACCAAAAGGTATCAGAGAGTAACTTAAAAGAAAATACAATGTTTTTTGAAGTGAAAATAATTATTTTAAAACGTTACCACCCACTTGCTGCTTTAAGTCAATTGAACAGATTTCTGATAATTGGTAGGTGATGCTCATCTTCACCCACCTAAGAATTCCTATTTCCTGTTCTCCAGAGTGTACACACTGAATACATGAGAGGAACAAATGGTGGTGTCCCAGAAAAGCATCTTGGAACAAAAATGACTTTAATGCAGGTACAAAAAATTATGGTCACAGTTTATGCATGTACACAGATGTATTTATCTACACACTTAAATCAAAGATAATACAAGTCTCAATCATGTTTTTAAAGCATCTTCAAACATATGGAGCTCCAGGGAAAAGGCAAAAAAGCACCAAAGATGAAAAGGTACATTAAAAAGATTTTTACACAAACATCTTTGTTGTATCTTTTTTGACTCAGTTTTTAGATTTTCAGAACTGTTATACTTGAAAAATGAACCTCTTTTTTCCCAAATCTATTTAAGCAATGTCAAGCAAAGAAGGGGGAGCCTGGGAACATTCAACACAGTACCTGGGTCCTTAAAAATTAGTTGGTATCTTAAAAGTAAAAAATGTCAAAGTGCATTTGTCTGATAAGGACCCCATTAACTTTATGTTTAAAACTTTTAATGTATTTATACATGTAAATATATATAGTATGTATATATGCATATATAATGAATGACGCATTTAAATCAGGCTTTTTGCAACTGCAAAAAAAAAATTCTTTGGTGCCTCAAGCATCATACAGATCTCTGGAAGTGGGCCATAATTGGGACTCATGTAAT